TAAACTCCCTCCCATAATAGAAGCCCCCGGGAGCTTCTAAACTGCCCACCATCCAAAATTTTCGGAGGGGGCTTCTATTAAGTCCCAAACTTTTTCAATAGTTTTAGATGTAAAAAGAATTTCAAAGAATTTCAGGGATTTTTAAGGTTTTCTAGAGTTTTTCAAACGATTTCCAAGGAGATTTTGAGATTTTTACGCTAGTACATAAGGAAATTAAACAAATTCTTATCTTAAGATCTTGAATTTTGACGGTTTTGCGATGAAAATACTAATCAAATTTTTCAAAAAGTTTGTAAAATAAGGGGGGCTTCTAATACATCTTTCATGTCGGTCCTTCGAAGGGGGCTTCTAATAAGGGAGGGGCTTTTAATATGGGAGGGGCTTCTATTATGGGAGGGGGTTTAGGAATGATCAATGTCAATGTGAACATCGATGTTGATACCCACTGACACCGTTTCTTACTTCAGTGTGGTTGTGAGTGGGAGCGGAAGGGGGGTGGATGTGGGTGATGTGTGTGGATCATTGCTTCACGGATATCCACACCCATCTTTGTCAGTTGACATCAATATAGAAGATTATCTCTTTTCAAATATTTAAGCAACTATCTAAAGGTCAACTTTGACAAAGGACGGGGGCGTATAAGGCTGGAATTTGGCCCCTTTTGATTTTGGTTACTAATACCATTGAATGATATACTAATCGATAGAGAAAAGTGCCCTGATCATTTTGATGCTAAATTCGATGTGTTTTTATTAAATTTTGATTATCATTGGGGTCTTGCATTGACTACACCGCCAGTCATTAGTTGACCAAAAACACTGTATAATATTATGATGAACTTTTTGAAGAAAGAAAAATTAAAAATTGACATTAACTCAACGATTTTTTGATAGATCTTTCATCAGGCTACATTTTCCTTATAAACTCATTCATTTATAATACTATTTTCATTGTTGCCAGGCGAAATAGAGATTCTCCATTGCCTACACAATAACAATATATTTCTCATTTTACATATGAAATACATTTATATACTTGACTTTTGCAAAATAGAAACGATGACCGAATTTCTCTTATATACCATTCGATAGAGCTTGAAAAGCTCTGCAAAACTAGCTATTTTTAAGAATCTAAAAAGTGGGCCCGTGGGTCAAAACTGTCGAATAATAACATAACTATACATGAAAACCAAGATTTTTGCCATCTTTTATCATATATGGAATACAATTATGTATTTGACTTTTCAAAATAGAAACGATGAGCAAATTTCTCTTAGGGTGTGGGTGTGGGTGTTATTCTTCTTTTGACACAGCCACACCCTTATTTACACTGCTTAACCACGAAAAACGACACACATTTTCGAGGAAAACACTTGAAATGATGAATAAGGATATGTAATCAGTGGACATAGATGCATGAGTCATCCAATCAATGTACATATCGATATTCACTAATGCACTTAGTTCGAATAGAAGATCAGAAAAAACAAATTTGATAAAAACGTACAGAAACAAAATGTATATTTACTTATATATTTTGTTTGGATGAAAGTTCAGTCTCACACAAATGATACTGCCACATTACACACAGAATTTAATAATAGTACACCCAATTTTCTATGAGAACAAATACAAATGAAAGATGTTGGTAAATCAATTCCTTCATTTTAGTTTAGTTCCATTATTATACTAGGTCAGAAGAATTTGACTTTATAAATAATCTTTATTAGTGACATACTTCATATACCGTAAATATGAGTTTTCAAAAATGAGTCTGATCTTAGGTGTCGCCACACGTAGTGTATTCAACATTGATTGGCATTTCTCTTATTGCTTTATATCACCAGACCACGTACTAATTAGGTTGACGTAATCTACGTACACTTTTTGATCATCACATTAATATATATACATATTGAATTAGTCATAGCAGAACGACGGATTATAGAACAAGATTTTTATAGAGAGCACTCGTTCAACGACATTTTTTCACGAATATATTCTTTAATGACAATTGATCTCAATTAAAGACAAATGATACAATACCTTCAAATTGTAATAGAAATAATGATGTGAAACGGTCACAAATAATGTCAAAAAATGCTTTCAGATAATCCATTAAAATGATTATTTTTGAACGAAGAAAATGATTGAAAAAAATTACAAAATAATGCTTAGAATGCCAACTATTGTTTAATATTATTCGTGATCGTTTTGCATCATTATTTTCATTAGTCTCTCACAGTAATGATGTGAGTCTGGCATGGTTGGATGCAATATTTCGAAACATCCATGTTCTGTTCTTTTTTTATATGTTGTTCTATATACGTCGGTTTTGCCTTTTAGGTTTTTTGTTTATATTTAGAAAATCATACTTATCGGAATAAGAGGTCATGATCTTTAACTCTCCACTCCACTTTTGCGATTAGTTCATAGAAAAGTTCACTTTTCAATCTTGGAAGAGAACAAAAAGCAACATAGGTCACCGATGGTCCATTGTTTCAGGTCATTGGATGACTATAAAAGAAGATAGACGACTGCTCATTCTTTCTAACATACATACATTCTTGTAGCGTGACTGTGTTAATATCGAAGGAATAGAAAAGACTGTCGAAGAACTGCCAACAAAACTATTCAAGGCAACCGATAAACAATGTAAGATTTTTCCCTAATTTATGTAACTACTAGCAGAAATACCCGGGATGGGTGTAGAGAAGCGTCGATATTATATTCACCCACACCCACTTATCGTCTTTGAGATCTGAGAATCGTAAAAAAAAGAGGGAGTACCTTTACGAACGTGGTCTTTACTCAAAGACAAGGCACCATAGAAGTCTTATATGTATGAACATACAGTTCAAAAGCGCTTTCAACATAGATTTTAAATAGATGTCGTTTTTTTGCATATCATGTTATAGTCGATGATAAATCGAGCGACATTTTTCCAGGAACTTTTGCATCACCCGTTGGGAAAGGTATATCCAAAATAAAAGATGCACTAAGCATTTTGACATACCCATCATAGTTGTCACATTCGTTTCCTTATTTTTGCGTTTTCCTATATATGGATTTCTATATACGCGTTTTTATTTAGAAATATTTCTCGGGATGAAAAATAAATGTTGAATAGATCTGATTCAGTCAATTGTCAAGCGAATCATCGAGAGGAGTGTTACTGATGTTTTCAGAGCAAGGAAAAGTCGATGATTTCTGACCAGATCCTTTATTAAAGCGTTTATTTCCAGTTAAATAGTAGTTTAGATAGTTTCGACATTTCATCCAGTCGTCATTTTTATCTTTCG